TCTATAATGCATGCATGCCTTTTTAATGAATAGTTCAATTTCTTACTTTTGCAGGCCAATTTGTTGTTTGTGAGTGGTCAATCTAAAATTAAATCTAAGATAACTTTGATAGGATGGATGAGTAGATTTTTTTTTAACTAAAATGTGAAATTGATGTCAAATTTGCATGATAAGTTGCCGTTCCAACGAATAGCACTAGTAAAACACAATATTTCGTGAATGCATGATGTTTGAAAATGATGAAGGTAAAGATTAAGTTGACGCACGTAAAACAAGAAAGTCATTAGTGTATAATTAATTAAGTTTTAATTATTATAAATTTGATAAATGGATATATATGATATTTTAAAGTAAGTTCTATAATATAAAGTTTTTGCACGGAATGTACATATAGTAGTTTTGATAAGTGCTAATGATAACCGAGCTAAACTCTATAATCCTAATCATAGAACAGTTCGTTTAGTGTGCATGAGTAGAGTAGGAACTCATGTGCTATTCAGCCAGTTTAGTCCTACCACGTTCGTTTGGAGAACAAAGGAGTGAGTTTGTTTCGTTTTCCGCGCGTACGCTTCCCGAGTTATTGAACGGTGCGTTTTTTGCAAAAATTTTCTATAGGAAAATTACTTTAAAAAATCATATTAATCTATTTTTGAAGTTTAAAATAGTTAATACTCAATTAATCATGCGCTAATAGCTCACATCGTTTTACGTATCTTCCCAATCTTCTCCTCACTCACAAATAAAAAACCAAAACATGAAGTTAGTATACCTCAACTAATTAGGTTCCTGATAGTGAAACCCATCCATCCAGATTTAAGTTTTAAAATTAGCACGGGTGCTTGTATTTACGAGTAGTTATTCTACCAACCAAGTTGTAGACTTGATACAGTCGAGTTCTAGACTTCGCATATCTTAAGATATGTCGGATTAGTCTTCGAAAGTACTTATAGAGGTAGGGTGTCTTAGACATATATCCGTCTAGTCTTTGAAAATGTTTATAGGGATGGAGTGCGTATATGTGTACATTCATAAGAGTGATAGTACGCGTGTTTATATCAGCTGCGACTGTACTATATTTTAAAAAAACTAATGCATCCTCATCTAACGAACTAAACCTACCAGAGAGGGGAGGAGGAATGGTAGGAACACTAAAAACCGAAAACTTTTAGTGGAATTAAAAGTTACCTTCGAAGCTGATGGAGATCGGTCTGACCGGCTTGATTGCCCTAGTTTGACCGCGCCTTGTTGCCAATCTAACCGGTGTAGATCGAGGTCTGACCGCCCTTCGCGCCATCGACGCTTGTTGCCGCCATATAACTGCCGGTGTGACCGAGCAGTTGCCTCTGGTCTGATCGCTGGTGATCTGTCGGTGTGATCGCTGCATCTGAGCAAAACACAAATTAAAAGATGTCTTGAAAGTTCGTAGATTGAATTTTATTGCTTATATTCGTGTTACAAAGTACAACAACAACACTTCTCTCACAGAATTCGACTAAACTCGAAACCTTAACTTTTCTCTAAATTAAACTCTCCCAAAATCGATATAAGGATATCTCAACTCCCTCTCTATTTATACCCAAGACAAGCAGCCTAAAGTCACGAATCTAATTTGTACAAGAAGTTCTAATTCACTAGAAAACCTTCCCGTACAAGAAACAAACTTATCTCATCATAATTCGAATTTCAATCCTCCCAAATTTAGACTCCTTCCAAGTTTGACTCCGCTTTTCATACGCACACAATCTCCCATTGAAACGGTCAATTAGGCCTAAGGGGGGGGTGAATGGGCTAATTTAAAAACTTAAGTAAATGCAGAAGCATGGTTTTTCAGAAATTCTGAAAATGCTTTACGAAAATTCTGAAAATCACATAATATGCACAAGTGAAAGTAAATTCTAGATCTAGCTACATACAACAATGAAATACAAGCACAAACAACAACTAGACTTATAACGGTACAAACAAGCAAAGCTAGAGGAGGGAGAGAGGTATATCACCGAGGTTGTTGCAATAAGAGTTGTTCCTGAAGTTTGAATCCTTAAGGGGATTATACTTTCCGTTGAGGAGCTCACAACGAGCCGGGTCTTTGCTAACCCTTTTCTCAAGGGGTTGCCCAAAGCACTCCTCCTTCCACTAGTGGTATCTAGGGGTGAAAACGATCGGAATCGTTAGCATCTCTTCGGAAACGATGCTCGATCGGCCGGTTAGTCCTCACATATACTCAAACGAAAATGTTAGTCCTCTCTAATCATATTGTTATTAATCACTAAAATCATTAGGGGCCTAGATGCACTTTCACCCATTTTATGCGACAAAGAATCATCATAAAACAATGTGCATTGTTCTTTAGACTAAGCATCCCGTACGATATTCTGATTGTCCAGACATCATCTTCTCCCAAGTTGACTCTCGATCCATCACCGACAACGCTCTCCTGAGGCATCAAGACACACTTACACAGGAATCAAAACAAGAAACCATATCCGAGCACAAGTTTTTTCCTAACTTGACTCGACATTAGCAAACAACAATATTACACACATATAGAAATAATCTAGAAGTCATAATTATGAGATAAACATGAGTATCCAAATAAACAACTCAAAACCGACCCTAATCAGGATCCAGCCAGTCTGCCCGCACATACCACACCGGTCTGACCGGCCTTACCGGTACAGTCTGATCGACTTCACACAAAAAAAACACTTCACCAATAATCACCAAATACTAAATTAATTATCTATCATGCCAATTATTCATCACAAATTAATAATAAAAGCACACTTTGATTTCACACAATTAGTTAACTGACAGTCATATCGATATATAGCCAAATATCGGCAATAATTGTACAAGCTCCCTACATCTATTCTCTTAGGTTCTCCTAGATCGATCACACTGGTCTACTCCTTCCATCCCATAAAATACAAACGTTATCCCAAATGTGAGACACCATAATACTGCAAATCTGGAGAGGCGTGATTAATAATTTCTCATCAGCCATAGGGGTAATAATAATCCAAGGCTGTGTTTAGTTCCACGTAAAAATTGAAAGTTTAAAGAAATTGGAACGATGTGACGAAAAAGTTGGAAGTTTGTTTGTGTAAAAAAGTTCAATGTGACGAAAAAGTTAAATGTTTGAAGAAAAAAGTTTGACTAAACAGGGCCAAGTCATGGTGATGGTAAGTCAGCCCCTAAGCTTTCACTTTGACCTATTCTACTCTCACACTGACGTTGACATTGTATCACAGGGCACCACCCATTCCCTCTCCTTAATTTTTGTTTGACTATAGTAACCATATCAATCAAATAGGTGTGAAAGCTAACCTAGATTATTTCTGATCACACTGATCACATTCTCACTAGCTATTCTACACTTTCTACCTTCACATAGGACGACAAGTGTACCAACCTACTGATAAATTTTCAAGCCTCATTTTTCTTATAAGTTATGGCCAAAATTAAAATTTTAAAAATTAGTTTTAAATTATTTTGATGTTGTTTCATCACCTTTTTCTAGCTTTAGCTAAAATGATATAATGATAGAGAAAAATAAAAGTCATAACCTAAAAATAATTTTTAGCTCGTTTTTTATAGCTTATTAGCAGCAGACTATTCAACTCGACCCTCCGTGTTTTCTCATATAAGCCCATACCATGGCTACGTTTGAAACTACAACTCTACAAGTTCTCATATTTTATTTTCTTATTTTTCACAAGTACGTTTTTGAAACTGTAAAACGACGTGTGTTTCTAAAATTTTCTATAGAAAAATTACTTTAAAACATCATATAAATTTATTTTAATTTTTTTAACTAATACTACCTCTGTCCTAGAAAGACTGCAGTTTTGCACTATTCATATCCAACGTTTGACCGTCCGTTTTATTTGAAAGTTTTTTATAATTAGTATTTTTATTGATATTAAATGATAAATTATGAATAATATTTTATGTGTGACTATTTTTTAATTTTTTTAATAAATTTTCAAACAAGACGGACGTGGTTAGTATTTTTATTGTTATTAGATGATAAATTATGAATAATACTTTATGTGTGACTATTTTTTTTAAATTTGTTTTATAAATTTTCAAATAAGACAGACAGACAAACGTTGGACACCAAAATTCATAACTACAGTCAAAATGGGACGGAGGTAGTAATTAATTAACCTTTTTTAAGAAGAAATGAGAAGTTCGAACACAACCCGCACACCCAAACCAAGGGGGTGTTTAGATTGAGGGGTGTAAAGTTTTGGCGTGTCACATCGGATATTATATATGATGTTGTATAGGGTGTTCGGACACTAATAAAAAAAATCGACTTATTAAGCCTAATTAATCCGTCATTAGCATATGTTTACTGTAGCACAACATTATCAAATCATGTAGCAATTAGGCTTAAAAGATTCGTCTCGCAAATTAGTAACAATCTATATAATTAGCTATTTTTTAGCCTATATTTAATATATTATACAGATGTCCAAACGTTCGACACGACGGGATCTAAAATTTTCGGGTGGGCTCATCGAAAGCAAACAAAACGAACCCCCGCACACGAACGGTCACACGCTGATCTTTTCTCCAAACCCAAAAAAGAAAAGAAAATCAGAAAAAGTCCCGCCACTACCTCTACTACTGCCGGCCCTACCCCCACAGATTCCAGGCGCCAGCTAAGCACACACCGACGTGCACCCCTCCCCTCCCGCATGCGTTTCCACTCTGTCTCCGCTCCACACCCGAGCCCGGTCAAACCCAACCCCGCCGCGCCGTCACTCCGCACCCGACTCACTGGCCCCCACCACCGACCACCGCCGCTGCCCTGTGGGCCCCGCCCCCACCCGCCGACGCGTGGGCCCCCACACGCCGCCGGCCGCGGCGGGTCACATGCGCGTCGTCCAAACTCCGAGGCGCGCACGAAAAAGAGAGAGACAAAAAAAAAAGAAAAGAGAAATTCTTTTTAGGCGCTCTAGGTATAAAAATCTACTCCTACTCATCAACTACTTTTCCACTTCGATTCCTCTCCCCTTCCCCCTCCTCTTCCTCCCTCTCCTCTCCTCTCCTCTCCGCCGCTGCCGCTGCTGCTGCGTGCTCCTCTCATCCCCGTCTCTTCCCCCTCCGCGCGCGCCGCCCACTCGCTGGGAGGAGGAGGAAGAGGAGACCTTCCCCGGAATTCGTGCTCGCCGGATCGGGCTCGCCGCAATCCATGTCGGTGAGTGGTGCTGTTGATGTGTTTCTTTTTTCTACTGATTTTAGAGTTGGTGATTGGTTGCGCTGTCTAGATCGAGCTGACCCGCCTGCGTGTTGGATTGTATTGATTAGAGGAAGGGAGGCTGATTAGCACGAGGTGTGGGGAAAAATTAGTTGTAAAAAAAAAATTGGAGGGGTTAATAGATGGGCGTTTGTTAAGTGACGTAAGGCGAAAGTGATGTTATGCTGTTCTGGGTTAGTAAGGTTCTTGGCAATCAGTTTTGGTCAAATCTTACTGGTTCATAGGTGTTTTGGTCGAATTTCAGCTTCAGATGAAGTTTGTCCCTCGTTTCCAGGATTGTTGGCGGTCAGTTCTTCATCGTTAGGCTTTTAATTGGTTGAACAGGAAATTGGGGTCATGATAGAATGCGAAGTTTCTGAAAACATAAGTAGAGAACAAAAGTAGGAGAATTTTGTCAATTAGGTACGATGGAAGGTCACCGTCAGCTTGTTCAACTACTGTTAGGTTCAAACTTTGATCGTGCTTGAGATTTCTTTGCTAAAATAAGGGGATATGTGGCAAAGGGAGAATAAACCATGATATGATTTTTGTTACTGACTATAGTGGCTGTAAATGAGAACTTGTGGAATCACAGAAAGTTCCAAAAAACAATGCAGAAATTGTATCCTTTTTTGTGCTTTGCCTAGTCCATTTTCTGACTTCTGAGATGAGGTCCCCGCATCACATAGAACTGCAATTGCAATTCAATGCATTCATGCAACAAACAGACAGACTACTGTCCTATAACATGAGTTATGACTTACGAGTAGCCTTGCATATTGTACATGCATAAGCCAAAGCTGCTTGTTTATTGTAAACCAGATGCTCTGTACCATAAAAACCATAATCCATTAAGTTTTCTTGTTTACTTTGTTGAACATTATACTAGATACCTATGGTGTTGACTGTTACATAACATTCTGTTCACCATTTGGCAATTTTCCCCCCTTAGTGACATTCATTCTTTTGAGATTTCAGTCATGCCTTCCACATGACAAAATGTTCCATTCAACTATGATGTTTGGAATTGGGAAACGGTACACATACTTAATGTTTCTTTTACTAATTCTGATTGAAAGAATGCAACACATCTTTTAATCCACATGTACATACATCAATCAATGCTTTGGAGAGAGTGCATCATGGATCAATCATATTGATGGTTTATTAGTAAACATTTCACAGCAATTATTTGTGCACATGGCCCTCATACAATTTTTGTTGGGCATTCAACCCTTGTTTTGAGGTGTTAAATAAATTATTTTTTATTATGTTGTCAAATTGCCTGACCTTTGTATTGGTGGTTGGGCATCTAGCTGTGCACTGTCAATAACTCCTGGCGGTGCTCCTCTTTTTCCTGGCTGTTGAACTTCCAATCTGACCATTCATTATGTTCATATCTTGTACACATGTGGTGAGATGTCAATTGCTGTCCATTGTATGTTACTATATTTTACTTAGCATTGTTCAACTGTAATAGACAGTGATATATCATACATGTCAAATGAAACCAACACAGACAAAGCATATGCTGTGTTGTCATCTTCTTATTTCTTGTACTGTTCTGTTCTGTCTTGAAGGTTAGCTGTGTTAGTCATGGCCCACTATGGATTCTCAAAAGGCATCCTTTATGTTCATTAGTTTCATCTTTTTCTATTTTCCAATTTTATTAGATGGCTATACTCGACTTTGTTCACACATAATCTCTAATTATCAATCGTCTGGTCATGCTTGGCAGGCCTCAATCAAATGCCAGCCCACCCACGGGAAATGGGCCAGGATTGAGGCCTGCTGAACAAGGTGTAGAGGTAGATACACCCTTTAATGTGGATCATGGTTCCTTTCTAGGAGGAAGCAGGTCGTCCCTTGCCCAAGTTTGGTGAATGGGATGTCAACGACCCAGCGTCCGCTGATGGATTCACAGTGATATTCAACAAAGCCAGAGATGAGAAAAAGGGTGGGAATGGGCAAGATACTGATTCACCCTGCAAAGAAACTAGGACTGAGAGGGTGGAATCATATGCCCCCAAGACAAACTCGGTATGTCTATTACATTACTCACGCTTATTATAATATCAGAATTTCAATTTCTCCCTGATTAATATAACGATATTCCTTTTCTCTTGAACTACATAACTAGCTAGATGTCATTAATCTCATTGTTTTCATGTGCAGAAGAAATGGTTTTGCTGCGTGACATCCAGTCCTACACAATCTTGATGAAAACGAGTTCCATGGGTTGCAAAATTACTATCCTTTAATTTTGCTATATACATACTATCCATAAGACCTTTTAGAGATGCCCAGACTCTACTGCGGTGCTAGATTGGGCATCTCTTAAAACTTTGAGGTGTGTGTATGTATGTGTGAGGGTTATCAGATGCACATTCGGATAAATGAACTTCTGATTGTAATTCTAGCCTTCCGTCCTGTGACATTCTGTGATGTAGTCGTTATTCAGTGATATAATGAATCTCACCTATTGATATAACTGCACACTGTTTCTCTTGCTTTCCGAGGAAACAAACACTGTTTTACCAAAGTTGGCTGTGCTCCAAAAGAGGATTAAATTCCATATGATTCTCATATTGCAATTGCAATTTTGATTCTCTCACCTACTAATATGCGATTTTGGAATTTTCCTCACGTGCCAAATTTGCATATTGCAATTTTGATAAAGGATACAAGCACAGTATAGCTCAATCTCCTTGGCGATGGAAGTTTTCTTAATATTGTAGGCACCACATTTCTAGCTGATAATGCAACTATCGTGGAGATCATAAAGAGGAGGAATTTTGTGGAAGAAGGACCTGGAGGTTGGGAGTCTTCGGCCTCTACTCAGTCAAATACAAGAAAATATTCCTCAAAACTTAATGCATGTGATGTAGATTCAAAAAGAGGTGAATCAACTAGCTGATAAGTTAGCAAAGGATGTGAGATCGCGACAGCTAAATCCTTCAGGTTTATGATTGTCAAAATATCTTGAGTCTTGCTCATCCTAGAAACCTTTGTTATGTTAGAGATTTGAAGAACCATTTCAGAGCAACGAATTGTATTACAACTTTACAAGTCATGTGCTCTGTTTCTGAAATGGAAATAAAACTGATGAGTTCTAAAAAAAAAAAGATCCATACATTCATGCCTGTACACGGACAGCAAATCTACATGTCAGAGTGGATATCGCCAAATTGGTTTCAGAATTTCATCATTGTGCTCATGCCCAATATTTTTTAATTTTCGGTGAGGAACAGATGAGCATCTTTCGTGCTAGCTGCAGACTCGGGTGCACTAGGAATTTCACTGGTTTATTTCACACGATTTATTTCAGTTCCACTGAAATTTGTTTGGAATTCATTTGGTTCGAGAAGAGGCGTGAGATACGAGACTTTGGGAGAGGGAAAGGGCAGTTCAATACCTGATACTTTTGCTCACTTGGAGCTTGACCGGAGAGAGGGGAGGGAGAGTAGTGAGGGGGGAGCAGTCGATGGCGGCGGAGACGGTGGTGAGCATGGCGATGTCGGTGCTGGGCAGCGCCGTCGGGAAGGCCGCCTCCGCCGCCGCCGACGAGGCCACCCTCCTGCTCGGCATCCAGAAGGAGATCTGGTATGTGTGCGCACGCTTCTGTAACTCCATACCACATCGGTGACTCTCCATGGCCCCTCCGCGGCGGCGTGTCGGCGACCTCGGCTTCCATGGCCGCCGCCGCCGCCGCCTCACAGCCCTTTTTGGTCTTTTGGTGATTCCAACGGATTCAGGATCAAAAATGAAACAATCCGGAGAGCCTATTCACGCTTCGCATTTCACTACCCCAAACTTGTGGATTGTGACCATGCAAACCAAAATTCCTTCAGTTTCATACTTTCATATGCTCAAATTTCCGTTGTTTTCATAGAAACAAGGTTATTTATCCCACTTACATCTTGCAAAAACCAAAGTACAGTTACTCTTATCGATTTTCATCTATACACATGCTAGACGAATGCATTGTAGTCCAATTCAAATTTCTGATATATTAGTTACTAACCAAGATGCTCCCATGCCATGAGCGCAAGTTCCATTGACAAGGAAAAACACTTTTTTATGATTTGAGCAAGTTCCACGCTGGCGTCCTCGTTGGCACACCACGTAAGCTAAAGTGGCAAAAAAAAAAGAATTTTTCTCTCTACAGTGAGTCAGTGACAAAAACTTAAGTGCAAAATTAAAATGGGTATTTGGATAATCGCCAAATCTAAAAGTGGCAAATAGTTAAATTCCCCTTTTATATTTCTCTCTTCAGTGGCAAAAACTTAAGTGCAAAACTATAATGGGTATTTGGATAATCGCCAAATCTAACAGTGGCAAAAAGTTAAATTCCCCTTTTATATTAGTCCTTGAGGAGCTACGGCAATGTTTGCTAGCACCGGACAAGATCATCCAATAAAAACTTAGAGATTATACATAACAGTGTCACTGTTACTAGCAAAATTTTCCATCCTATTGCATGGTTAGTACATTTTTTTTTGTGAGAAATATATGGTCAATGCCATTTGCAATATACCTCCAGGCTCTAGTCAATATAAGACTACATACATATGCGATCTACATTTTGTACTAGGTCTCTACCAAAAGAAGGGGTTTGTACCCTTCTGTTCTCTTAAATTAATGAGACGATTTGTAGGATCTTTCTTTTTCAAGGGATTGTGGGAGTTCTGACTCTCATGGCTAACGAGGCGCTCTGAATACTAGTAGTTTATTTCCATCCATCTATTTATTTATTTTAATAAATTTTATTGCTTTTGAATTTATATTTGTAGGTACATCAAGGACGAGCTGAAAACTATTCAGGCATTCTTAAGAGCTGCTGAAGTAACAAAGAAGAAAGATGACTTGCTAAAGGTATGGGCAGAGCAAGTACGAGATCTGTCATATAACATTGAAGATTGCCTAGACGAATTCAAGGTTCATGTTGAGAGCCAAAGCTTGGCAAAGCAACTAATGAAGCTTGGTGAACGCCATCGAATTGCTGTACAGATTCGCAACTTAAAATCAAGAATTGAAGAAGTGAGCAACAGGAATACACGCTACAGCTTAATCAAGCCCATTTCCTCTATAACCACAGAGGATGAGAGGGATTCCTACCTAGAAGATGCTCGCAATCAATCAGGTAGCAACACTGACGAGTCAGAACTTGTGGGCTTTGCCAAGACTAAAGATGAGTTGCTTAAACTGATAGATGTCAATACTAATGACGGTCCAGCTAAAGTGATATGTGTGGTTGGTATGGGTGGATTAGGCAAGACTACCCTTGCAAGGAAGGCATATGAAAACAAGGAACACATGAAGAACTTCTCGTGTTGTGCTTGGATCACTGTGTCTCAGTCATTTGACAGGAAAGAAATTCTGAAACAAATGATCAGGCAACTTCTGGGTGCTGATTCATTAGACAAACTCTTGAAAGAATTTAGTGAGAAGTTGCTCGTGCAAGTCCAGCATCTCGCTGATCACTTGGTTGAAGGGCTAAAGGAGAAAAGGTACTTTGTTGTCCTTGATGACCTATGGACCATAGATGCATGGAATTGGATTCATGATATTGCTTTTCCGAAGATTAACAACAGAGGTAGTCGCATAATAATAAAAACGCGAGATGCTGGCTTAGCTGGAAGGTGTACCTCTGAATCACTTATTTACCACCTTGAACCGTTACATATAGATGATGCTATACACTTGCTACTAGCAAAGACAAACATAAGACTTGAAGACATGGAAAATGATGAGGACTTGGGCAGCATAGTTACAAAATTGGTAAAAAGGTGTGGTTATTTACCGCTGGCTATACTCACAATAGGAGGCATTCTTGCTACTAAGAAGATAATGGAGTGGGGAAAATTTTACAGAGAACTTCCTTCAGAGCTTGAGAGCAATCCAAGCCTAGAAGCCATGAGGAGGATGGTGACCCTAAGCTACAATCACTTACCATCTCATCTTAAACCATGCTTTCTTTACCTAAGTATTTTCCCTGAAGATTTTGAAATTCAAAGAGGGCGCCTGGTAGATAGATGGATAGCAGAGGGTTTTGTCAGAGCCACAGATGGGGTGAACATTGAGGATGTTGGAAATAGTCACTTTAATGAGCTTATCAACAGAAGTCTGATTCAGCCCTCAAAAGTTAGTACAGATGGAGTTGTTAAGAGATGTCGAATCCATGATATCATGCGTGATATCATAGTTTCAATTTCTAGAGAGGAAAATTTTGTGCTGTTGACTAGGGAGAAGATCACTGTTGTAGCGGAGGAGAGCATCCGCCATCTAGCATTTCATGGGAGCAAATGCTCAAAGATATGCTTGGAGTGGAACCATCTGCGCTCAGTAACTTTGTTTGGCGACAGACCTGTGGGGCGAACACCTGCACTTTGTTCACCACAATTTAGGATGCTGAGAGTGTTGGATCTGGAAGATGCAAAATTCAAATTCACACAAAATGATATCAGGAATATAGGGTTGTTGCGCCACATGAAATATTTGAATTTTGCAAGAGCCTCAACTATTTATACACTTCCAAGGTCCATAGGAAAATTGCAGTGCTTGCAAATTTTGAACATGAGGGAGGCAAATATCTCAGCACTAACAACTGAGGTGACTAAACTCCAGAATCTCCGTAGCCTCCGATGCAGCAGGAGGTCTGGTTCTGGTTACTTTAGCATAATAGATAATCCCAAGGAATGCTTGATGATCACCATGTGCTTACCGATGGTTTTCTTAACTTCAATAAATTTCAGTGACCGTGTGAAGTTAATTCCTGAGATATGCATGTCATGTTCTACCCGTTGGTCTGATACAAAGGGTGTGAGGGTGCCAAGAGGAATTGACAACCTAAAAGAGTTACAGATTCTAGAAGTCGTGGACATCAACAGAACTAGTAGGAAGGCGATTGAAGAGCTGGGGGAGCTAATTCAGTTAAGAAAATTAAGCGTGACAACAAAAGGCGCCACAAATAAGAAGTATCAGATATTTTGTGCAGCGATTGAGAAGCTCTCTTCTCTGCAATCTCTCCGTGTGGATGCTGAGGGATTCTCAGATACTGGAACACTTGAGTGGCTCAATTCGATTGCATGTCCTCCTCCATTCTTGAAGAGACTCAAGTTGAATGGATCTCTTGCAGATACACCAAACTGGTTTGGGAACCTTAAGCAGCTGGTGAAGATGTGCTTATCCAGATGTGGGCTAAAAGATGGTAAAACTATGGAGATACTTGGGGCACTGCCCAACCTTATGGTTCTTCGTCTTTATCGCAACGCATATGCTGACGAGAAAATGACATTCAGAAGGGGAACATTCCCAAATCTCAGGTGTCTTGATATTTACTTGCTGAAGCAACTTAGAGAGATAAGATTTGAGGAGGGCACCTCGCCAACGATGGAAAGTATAGAAATTTATGGTTGCAGGTTGGAATCAGGGATTATTGGTATCAAGCACCTTCCAAGACTTAAGATTATTTCGCTTGAATATGATGGTAAAGTCGCGAAGCTTGATGTGCTGCAAGAGGAAGTGAATACACACCCCAATCATACTGAATTGCAAATGGCAGAGGATCGAAGTCATCATGACCTAGGAGGTATATAAGGATCTAATATAGTATGTGAGCAATGAAAATCGCATATTGAGCTTGCCATTGACAGATCATGGTCCTGACCAGGCCTTGCATCTGATGGCGATGATGCCCATGACAATCCAGCGTTGCGCTATCAAACATCATGTTGACAACAAAGAGTTCAGTCTTGCACTTGAGAACCTACCCAGTTATTATGTAACGACACGTTTATATGCATTGAGATGAAAAATAGACTTAAATAACCATATAATGCAAGACCCAAAGAGAAGAGAAATACAATATAGACTTATTTTCCAGCCATTTGAACACAGCCCACAATGAGGGATGAAAAATATACTTATTCTGTGGAGAAGTACGATGGGCTATCGTGCCTTTGGGTCGGCCCGAGTCGTATTAGCCGTGCCTGGGCCGTGTGTGCAGCATGTTGGTCGGGCCGTGCCGGCCCGACTAACCTTGGCCCAGGTACGATTGGGCTTGGGCCGTGCCATGCCGGGCAGCCCATTTGGCTAACTATACTACACTATATGGTACTCCCTCCGTTTCATATTATAAATCATTTGTCTTTTTTCATAGTCAAACTTATTTAAATTTGATCAAGTTTATAACAAAATATAGTAATATTTTCAACACAAAACAAATATTGTATCAAAATATATTCAATGTTAAATCTAATGAAACTAATTTGGTGTCGTGAATGTTGCTAATTTTTTCTATAAATTTGGTTAAACATAAATAATTTTAACTATAAAAAAGTCAAATGACTTGTAATATAAAATGGAAGGAGTAGTAGCTACTCGTCTGTTAAAAAAAAAGTTTCCTCCTAACATAAGAGCAAATTGGCTCGACACAATTCACCTGCTATTTATCTGTCTTTCGCCTTGTAAGGTAGTGGTGCGGGACTGCAGGTGCAGCATGCGTACACAATTGATCTGTTTTTACTTCTTGCAATGAGATAAGATGGAGAACGTTGTGTCAGTCACTACATCTTAAACTGCCTGATGCTCATCCAAAATGAGAAAGATGTTCCAAATTACACATTGTGCATTCCGATATGAATGATTTCTCACTCTATATATACTCTAGATGTTCAGATTTTTACTAAGAATTGAGTTGGTTAGTTGAATGGAGATATTTTTCTAGTTCGGTGCTTTAGATATGTTTTGCTTTTGCCTAATGACTATTTTTTTTGTTTTATTAATCTATGCTATACTACTTACGGTTATAGATGAATATAGTTCTTGTTTATTATAGCTCTTCTGAAAAGTGCAGTGTACAACTAGTTGTGTTATTGTTAACTGATAAAACATAGAAATGTTGATTTAATGAGCTACATTGATCTCTTCTTCGTTGATATGAGAAGCTTGGTTTGAGTTGTTTTTATATTCTAATAAATATTTGTTACTGGAATCGCTCCATTTTCGTATTTGAAAATATTTGATTATGTTTTTTATGTGGGGTTTCTGATTCCAATTAAAAAAATGAAAATAAAAATGGTATGATGGTTTCCGTTCGTTTTCGAGCCGTTTCATCCCTAATTGCACATGCATGCGCGGAACAATGGATCTCACTAATCAAGTCGCACGCAGTTCTTTATATCTTGTTGATTATGGCTTGTGAAGCATAGATTCACCGAATTAATTGGGATGCTAAATTAGTCACATGCATACCCAAGCTTGCATATGACGTTATGTAGATAGAGATGGCCAATATAATGCGCTGGAAAGTCCAAAGTGAGGATGCAAAACATCTTATAGTGGGTAGTGGAGCCATGCAAGGACCTGGTCTAAAGCGCACCTAAACCGTAATGTGGACTTTAAAGTTAGGGGGAATATGATTCTCTTCATGTGCACCTAAACCGTAATATGCAGTGAAACGAACGCTATGATATGATGATAAGCTTAATTCCTCTCTCTGCTCAGACTGTTCAGTGCAAAAGCTACCAACGAGCTTGTCTCCTTGTGCGGTCGTGAGCTTGCTTGTGCTAAGCTTGAAGGGAGAGTCGAACGAATCCATGGCGGAGACGGTGCTGAGCATGGCGAGGTCGCTGGTGGGCAGTGCCATCAGCAAGGCCGCCTCTGCCGCTGCCAATGAGACGAGCCTCCTGCTCGGCGTCGAGAAGGACATCTGGTACGTACTGCACTGCTCTCGTTTATCCTAGCAAGTTCTTAGGCTCTTAATCTCGAAATTGAGGAACACCATGAAACACTAAAAGAGAGCTCGAAGACTAGGAAAGAAAACTAGAAGACTAAGCTTTGAAAGTCTTCTAAATCCAAGCATCTCGACATTGATCATCCTTGTGCAACATCATCCCTTCCTATTGCTTCACCAGAATCGGTGTCCCTTGTGGAGATCTCTGTCGTAGCGTCAAGGGGAGAATCCGAGAAGCAGAACTAGTCCGCGCTGCCTTCGCTACGCCATCTCCGCCATAGAGGATCTCATCCACGAAACATCCACCATCCAAACGGGAAACTGTTTTAAACACTCGGGTGGATGTTCACCCGTTTCTTGCATATCATCTAAATGGTTATGAAAAATTTTCAAAAAAAAAACATGATAGGTTAATATATAATATATCATCTCACAAATATGCAAGTTCAAATTCAACTTTTATAAGTTGTAAGTATAACAGGACGTTCATCTCACAAATATGCAAGTTTAAATTTAACTTTTACAAGTTGTAAGTGTAACAGTACGTCCATCGGATAGATTAATATCCATCTCCCCATCCAAACCCGTTGTTGCACCATCTGTCGAATCCGGCTGTGGACGCTCGGAGGCAAGAGCTAGCTCACCCGTCCCACACACACACCCAACGACGTCACAAGCGCCTCCGAACAACGCCAACTGATAACTTGGCAGCTCCTACGTGCCGACGTCGCGGTACTTGCCGGCGCTCCTAGCGCACGCACCGTCGAACCACACCGTCACCGACCAACTACCCACCGCCGCCGACTTCTGCCTCATCTGCCATCGTGGCCCTAGCCCAAGTTATCATCGTGGCAATTGCCGAGGCTCCTAAGTGTGCCACGGCCGAGGCAAAGTTCTAACTGAATCAGAGTATCAGACAGCCACCACCGACGCTACTTCTGCTTCATCTGCCATCGCCGTACTAGTTCAAGTTGTCGCTGTGGCAATCATGGGCCCTCCTAGCGTGCCACCCAACCGGACAGCCACGACATCCCCCATCACTGTTGTTATTGCCGCGCCCTGACCCCTATCGTCGTCGCTCTTAGCGCGTCGACGAGCCGACCAGCCACTGTCGTGCAGATGAAAAAAAAAACACATATTGGCCTGAGAGATCTGCTTAGTTCCAGTGCAGGTCCAACATGCTGTGAGATGCGGGCGTGCTAGTCAGTTTGATCTTGCAACTGACAAGATATATAAACAGCAGATAAAACAGCCGATCGACTAACAAGCCGATGGAGTAATTCCAGCCGATAGCCGATATTAGCCGATGCCGATTCTAGCCGATGTCGATAGGGTTTTGAACTATCGGCTATATGTCTAATGTAGGCAATGATATAAAGACAATTGGCTGATGATAATAAAATATAAAAATATAATCCAATAGAAACCAATCGGCTAATAATAAATATTGATCCGATGGTTAAAGCATACATCGGCTAAAAGTCCGATGTCATAAAATCCAATCGATTTAGATAAACAGTGAAACCTTTTTTGCAATCGGCTAAATCCAACTTGTATGTAATCTTCGTAAGCCGATGAACGTCCAGATAACTTATCGGCTAGCACCTCGATAAAACACTAGCATGAACCTATCGGCTTAACAAGATTTATATTATCAACAACAATCTAGTAGGTCGGACCTAACCGATGCAACACGGATTAGATATGATAATCTAATACTCGATGAGCCAATAGATCTGTCTAATGTGATGGATATAACAAATCTATTTATAACAGCATTGCGATTGTAGAGATATATCGGCTAAGACAGAATATCAGACCTAACTAAACCGATGCGTCTCTAAACACAATGCAATTAATTAGAGATATAATTGAGATATCAGCTAGGCAAATATATCAACCAAACTGGAGCGATCCAAGAGATCGGAGCAATGCAGCCTTGAACAACACCAATGTAGCCGATGGATTCACCAGGGCCGACGGAACGTAGGACTTACCCCTTCGCTGAAGATCGGGCTGAACCAATGCAGCCCCGCGTCAGGTGCCAAATTCCGCCGGTTGATAAGTAAAACCTCAGAAAAGAGGATGACGATGCGCCGAGAGTAGTATTGATCGAGAGATAAATTGCAATGACCCTGGATGTACATATTTGTACCCATGGGTAGATATTAGTTCTTGTAGGACAAGAAAGAAACTTTCCTAAAGATAAAATGAAAACATAAAGTCTTTATTGGATACTAAATACACTTTCCTAAAGATAAAAGGAAACTAAACCCTGCCTAATTAATAGATAAACTGCCATGTCGTATCCTCCTTGAACTCGGACTCTTTTAGATAAGCTACCTTTAACTAATCTTTACCCGAATCCATCAAGAATACAAATGTTGGCATTGATAGTTTCCATCGGTCAATTCTAGGACTTTGAAGCCGATACTGACTCTAAGCCGATGATTACTTTGTGCTTACCAAATTTTGTTGTTAACATGTCGCAACCACCATCACCGGCCAGCCACCCTGATCATTGTTGTTGACTCAGCATTCGCCAGGCTGAGCAGTCCACATACATGCCGCCATCTCCATGGCACTGTCGTTGCCGCCCCTTTCTCCTAGAGCCGCCGCAGCGCTCTTCGACACACCTACTGCATCGTCGAGCAGTCGTGCTACCACCTCCTCCATCGACCATAGCCGCCTCTTCTGCTGCACCGGATCCACCCACACCAACCACCAGATACAGTCAAGCCCTCATTCCCGGATCCCATATCCATCCATGCCACTACTGTGCTGCCCAGTCCAAGGAATGGAGCGAAGGAGGAAGCCCCGCCGCTGCCCTCCCGGCGGCCACATGCACTCCAGTGCCTTGCTCCGACGGCAGCGAGGTTGGAAAATGGGTGGCAGCGGCTAGGGTTTATCTGGGGAGAAGGAAAAGGAGAGGGAGGGGGGGGGGTCCACTTCCAGCTTAATTAGCCTAGATCTTATTGACAAATCAGTTGCTGGGTGCACAGACATGTTATTCTTTTTGCATGACCAATCTTGAACACTTAGGTATGTTAGTTGAGTGGACACTGGTCTATCTGAAACATCTCTTCACATGGAGGCTGCGAATGAGTTTTCTTTTTGAGAGACCAAAGTTTCGTTGTATGTTAAGTGATAAAGCCTTGGTAAGAAATGCTACCACAAACGAACTAATAACTCCAAACGTAAAGTGGAGGAACCCGTATGGGTGACTCGAGTGGCGACAAACTCTAGCACCTCCACCTCCTTGGATGGGCTGCGGCGGTGCTTTCAGCATCCCAGTCTCCTTGGAGGCATCATCTAGAATTAAGGTCTTGTTATTGCTTAGCATGCCTTAGGGCACGTCCAGTGTTTAGTTCGACTAAAACTTCCATGAAAGCCAAACAAAAGTTCTGTTTGACCACCACAGTGTAAAAATCGATTGTGGGACCCATGCAAAAAAATCACAATCTCAGCTGCCTATGCTCTCCTCCTGGACCTGATAGCCGTGCACAACAAATATTTTTTTAAACTGGATGTGTTCGGCTTCTCTTTAAAGATCGTTTTTTCCTCTGACACTTACCAACCGGCTTTCACAGTGTGGTCAGTTCTTTTTTTTTTTACGCAAAGTTTGATTTTAGTCAGACACGGGAGGATCTGTTAAGCAGGCTTAGAAATTTCGGACCCCTCCAATACAATATTATTTTAGCCAAAATTTTCTAATTTTTTAATTTTTCATGAATTTTGGTAATATTTGTTCTAATTTAACTAAATTTTGTTCAAAATTTCGGTCTATCAGTGACCTCCGATCAAATCAGTTAAACCGAGAAAATAAACCATGCTCTTAAGAGAGTTTGGTATGGTTCAATATCAAAACTTATAGTCTTGCAATTTTTTCTACCCTTTATCTTTTTCCCTGACTATTTAGTATGGATCGTTTAAAAAAAAGAAAGCCCATTGGTGACCAAGGGCTTGTTTGATTCAAGACCATCCCTAGCCTTACCAACCTTTTGGCAATGGCAAAAATTGGTTGTTGCCAAAAATATTGGCACAAATTGGCTAAGCCTATGATTGGTTTCTACCAAAGTTGAATTTTGGCATTCAATCAAGCCAAATAATTTGGCAATAACATTTTCTTATCTATGGATATAACATATGGCAAATATTTTGGCATTACCATTTTCTTTTTGCCAAACATGTTATTCCTTTTGAATGACCAATCTTGACACCTTATGTATGTTAGTAGTGGAATCGACACTATTCTATCTAAAACATCTCTTTACATAGAGGCCGCTAATAATTTTTCTTTGAGATAACCAAATTTTCCTTACAAGTTAAGCAACAAAGACCATTGGTAAGATATGCTACGACAAATGAACTAATAACTCCAAACGTAAAGCGGAGGATCCCGCATTTCCCACGTGGGTGACTCGAGCGGTGACAAACCCTAGTACCTCCACCCCCTTGGGTGGGTTGTGGTGGCACTTTCGGCACCGTATTTTCCTTGGACGGATCATTTAGAAAGTCCTATTATTGCCTAGTATGCCTTGACAGTTTAGGCAACACTCTTGGATGGTGGTGTCCTTTGCCCTGGTGATCTAGTAGCCCATGGATGTTTAGTTATTTGGACATGGTGTTGGATGGTGCGCTCGTGGGCCTGTTGTAGGTCTGGTGCCAACCAGTCATGCTTAGAAATAGCCGGATAGGTGCACAGTGCTAGTTCTTTACTTGGTGGTTTGTGCAGCGCTATCGACATGTGGTGGTGTGCTTTTTCTTTGTCCGGATAATAATCTCATAGGGCTATACTCTTGTTATTTTGCTGCTATATTATTATGATAACTTGGTATGGTTCGTTTTTTCTTTTTTTGGAAAAACACCTAGTTGATCAAGGGCTTGTTTGGTTCAAGTGCATTCCTAATCTTACCTTTTCTTTTTTTTTTTTGCAATGGCAAGAATTGTTCATTGCAAAAAAAAAAAAGAGATAAAAATTGGCTAGGCTTACGTTTTGGTTCTTACCAAAGTTGTACTTTGAGACCAAATATATGGCAAAATTTTGGCATAACCTTTTTTTTTTTGCTTGGTTGAGCTTGGTACAAACCAAACAGTCACAAAATAGACTGTCATGAATCACGCCTACTAAATTCCTTTGAACCGAACTAGAATATATTTGCTCTTAAAAGATTTCTTGATTTCAATTGGTACCATTTACTAGTAGAAACTTAAATTTAAATTTTAAAAACAAAATCATAATATTGTTGTTATGGAAATTTTAGTCATTTTAGTACTTTTGTAATATATGAGTTGGGTTATACTTGAGATATCCTAAATTGCTTTAAGATGAACAATTGCTAGGTATATCAAAGATGAGCTAAAAACAATGCAGGCATTCCTTAGAGCTGCTGAAGTTATGAAAAAGAAAGATGAACTATTAAAGGTTTGGGCAGAGCAAATACGTGACCTGTCGTATGACATTGAAGATTCCCTGATGAATTTAAAGTCCATATTGAAAGCCAAACCCTATTTCGTCAGTTGGTGAAACTTAGAGAGCGCCACCGGATCGCTATCCGTATCCACAACCTCAAATCAAGAGTTGAAGAAGTGAGTAGCAGGAACACACGCTACAATTTAGTCGAGCCTATTTCCTCCGGCACAGAGGATGACATGGATTCCTATGCAGAAGACATTCGCAATCAATCAGCTCGAAATGTGGATGAAGCTGAGCTTGTTGGGTTTTCTGACTCCAAGAAAAGGCTGCTTGAAATGATCGATACCAATGCTAATGATGGTCCGGCCAAGGTAATCTGTGTTGTTGGGATGGGTGGTTTAGGCAAGACAGCTCTTTCGAGGAAGATCTTTGAAAGCGAAGAAGACATTAGGAAGAACTTCCCTTGCAATGCTTGGATTACAGTGTCACAATCATTTCACAGGATTGAGCTACTTAAAGATATGATACGCCAACTTCTTGGCCCCAGTTCTCTGGATCAACTCTTGCAAGAATTGCAAGGGAAGGTGGTGGTGCAAGTACATCATCTTTCTGAGTACCTGATAGAAGAGCTCAAGGAGAAGAGGTACTTTGTTGTTCTAGATGATCTATGGATTTTACATGATTGGAATTGGATAAATGAAATTGCATTTCCTAAGAACAATAAGAAGGGCAGTCGAATAGTAATAACCACTCGGAATGTTGATCTTGCGGAGAAGTGTGCCACAGCCTCACTGGTGTACCACCTTGATTTCTTGCAGATGAACGATGCCATAACATTGCTACTGAGAAAAACAAATAAAAATCATGAAGACATGGAATCAAATAAAAATATGCAAAAGATGGTTGAACGAATTGTAAATAAATGTGGTCGTCTACCATTAGCAATACTTACAATAGGAGCTGTGCTTGCAACTAAACAGGTGTCAGAATGGGAGAAATTCTATGAACACCTTCCTTCAGAACTAGAAATAAACCCAAGCCTGGAAGCTTTGAGGAGAATGGTGACCCTAGGTTACAACCACCTACCATCCCATCTGAAACCATGCTTTTTGTATCTAAGTATCTTTCCTGAGGATTTTGAAATCAAAAGGAATCGTCTAGTAGGTAGATGGATAGCAGAAGGGTTTGTTAGACCAAAGGTTGGGATGACGACTAAGGATGTCGGAGAAAGTTACTTTAATGAGCTAATCAACCGAAGTATGATTCAACGATCAAGAGTGGGCATAGCAGGAAAAATTAAGACTTGTCGAATTCATGATATCATCCGTGATATCACAGTTTCAATCTCGAGACAGGAAAATTTTGTATTGTTACCAATGGGAGATGGCTCTGATTTAGTTCAGGAAAACACTCGCCACATAGCATTCCATGGGAGTATGTCCTGCAAAACAGGATTGGATTGGAGCATTATTCGATCATTAGCTATTTTTGGTGACAGACCCAAGAGTCTAGCACATGCAGTTTGTCCAGATCAATTGAGGATGTTACGGGTCTTGGATCTTGAAGATGTGACATTCTTAATCACTCAAAAAGATTTCGACCATATTGCATTGTTGTGCCACTTGAAATACTTGAGTATTGGATATTCGTCATCCATATATTCACTTCCCAGATCCATTGGTAAACTACAGGGCCTACAAACTTTGAACATGCCGAGCACATACATTGCAGCACTACCAAGTGAGATCAGTAAACTCCAATGTCTGCATACTCTTCGTTGTATAGGACAGTTTCATTATGACAACTTTAGTCTAAACCACCCAATGAAGTGCATAACTAACACAATATGCCTGCCTAAAGTATTCACACCTTTAGTTAGTCGCGATGATCGTGCAAAACAAATTGCTGAATTGCACATGGCCACCAAAAGTTGCTGGTCTGAATCATTCGGTGTGAAGGTACCCAAAGGAATAGGTAAGTTGCGAGACTTACAGGTTCTAGAGTATGTAGATATCAGGCGGACCAGTAGTAGAGCAATCAAAGAGCTGGGGCAGTTAAGCAAGCTGAGGAAATTAGGTGTGACAACAAACGGGTCGACAAAGGAAAAATGTAAGATACTTTATGCAGCCATTGAGAAGCTCTCTTCCCTCCAATCTCTCCATGTGGATGCTGTGTTATTCTCAGGTATTATTGGAACACTTGAGTGCCTAGATTCTATTTCATCTCCTCCTCCCCTACTAAGGACACTCAGGTTGAATGGAAGTCTTGAAGAGATGCCTAACTGGATTGAGCAGCTCACTCACCTGAAGAAGTTCGACTTACGGAGGAGTAAACTAAAGGAAGGTAAAACCATGCTGATACTTGGGGCATTGCCCAACCTCATGGTCCTTTATCTTTATCGGAATGCTTACCTTGGGGAGAAGCTAGTATTCAAAACGGGAGCATTCCCAAATCTTAGAACACTTTGTATTTACGAATTGGATCAGCTAAGAGAGATCAGATTTGAGGACGGCAGCTCACCCCTGTTGGAAAAGATAGAAATAGGCAAGTGCAGGTTGGAATCTGGGATTATTGGTATCATTCACCTTCCAAAGCTCAAGGAGATTCCAATTACATACGGAAGTAAAGTGGCTGGGCTTGGTCAGCTGGAGGGAGAAGTGAACACACACCCAAATCGCCCCGTGCTGCTAATGTACAGTGACCGAAGGTATCACGACCTGGGGGCTGAAGCCGAAGGATCTTCTATAGAAGTGCAAACAGCAGATCCTGTTCCTGATGCCGAAGGATCAGTCACTGTAGCAGTGGAAGCAACGGATCCCCTTCCCGAGCAGGAGGGAGAGAGCTCGCAGTCGCAGGTGATCACGTTGACGACGAATGATAGGTCAGTCACTCCCTACATGGCAGCTTAATTAACTTGTTTCTAATTCTCTTCTTGTTCAGTATTAGCCATCAGGTGAGGGCGATGATTTCAACTCACTTTTCATCTCTCTCGTTTTCTTAACCTGACAGCGAAGAGATAGGCACAGCTCAAGCTGGCTGACGATCTCCTCCCCCATCAGCGTCGTCATCAGCGAACAGATAGGGCAGGGCTTCCCTGCTTCTGCGTGCACCTCACTGCTCTGACTCGGAGGGACATGATGATCAATGAGGCTTCCAGTTCCCAAATGTGCGCCTAACACACTCAGTCATTCCCATCCCAGGTATGAATTGATCGATCTGATTTATTCCTTGCCGTGAGGTGCAAATGTTTGATGCTTACTTTGATCAGGGTATTCTGTTTCGGGCTGTGATATGCACAATTACTCTCAATTCGTGTTTTGATGCTGAGTTTTTATTTCTCTTCTTACCCGTGCACTCTTCATTTCCATTTCATTCATAACAGAAAACAATTTGATTGCATTGTGGAAGGGAATATAAGATCAGAAATCAGATGGTTAGTTGTGGTTTTCTTATTTCGTTTGCTATGAGCACCAATCGTTTTGCTAGAATGTCTTTTTTTTGAACGACTCGCACGAGACGGTGCGATGTTCTATTGATAGAGCAGGAAAAGAATTACAAGACTACAACCCTGGAGGGTCATAACCAGGAAAAAGAAAAAATATACCACCACCCACACACCGGCAGCGCCAACACACACGACAGGAGAAGGTTAGCACCGGACCGGCCGCCGCTAGACCAACAAAGGAGCACAGACGAGATTGCACGAATCCACGGCTGACGCACCGATGCTCCACCACCACTCAAACTCTGCCGACATGTGGGGCCCCTGCACCGACGCCCCCCGCCGGCCAGCCTTTGCGCGCCGAAGACCGCGCCACACCCACCGGTAGCTCCACCACGCACCGAGGTCACCTCTTCCACCGCCGGCCGCGCCTCTCGCGCCAAGCCGGCCTCCTCCACCGGACGCGCCTCTCGCGCCAATCCGGCCTCCCTCCATCGGCTGCGCCTCTCGCGCCAAGCCGGCCTCCATCTCTGCCGCCGGCGCCTCTCGCGCCGAGCCGGCCTCCGCTGCCATCGGCTGCGCACTCTGCGACAAGCCGTTCTCTGACCCCTCCTCCAAACGATGCTGCGCCGGTCCGATGTAGCCGTCTGCCACGCCCTCGGCAAGCCGTCCGAGGCCGCCATGCCTCCTCCCACCACCGTCACGGTCACCATCACCTCACCGTCGCCGCCGTCACCTCACAACCGACTCCTTCCCCGCCTCCACTGCCGATGTCGCCGCCGCCTCCTCAGTCACGGCCGTCGCAAGCCGGCCGTCGTCGCCGCTGCCACTGTCACCAACCACCGACGCCAGCAGCCGCCATCGCAAAACCGCCGCCACCTCCAACGCAGCCGCCCCGATGTCGTCGCCATGCGGGGGGGGGGGGGGGGGCAAATAGGCCTTCAGCACGCTAGATCCGCCCCACGGGGGGCCAAAATGGCCTGCAGCGCCTGATCCGGCCGCCGTCGCCAGCCTCGCCGCCAGAGCCACCCGCCGTCGTCAGCCTCGCCGCCACCTCCATCCCCGCCGCCATCTCCATCCCCGCCGCCGGCGCCCCCTCACCATCCCCGACGCCGTCGTCGCCTTCCCCGCCGCCAGCCGCCACCAACTACCGCCGCCACCTCGCCATCTTCAATCCCCGCCGCCACCACCACCAACTGCCGCCACCACCTTAGGCCGACCCTCCGCCGGCGGCCTCCCCACCAGATCCGGCCGCGGCGGCCCGGATCTGGGTGGCCTTCGCTGTCTCGCGCAGCCCCCCACCGCCGACGGGAGAGGCAGACGAAGGCGACGAAGCCCCGCCGCCGCCGTCCTTGCGGCCGCTCGGGCGGCGGCGAGGCGGCAGAGGGAGGAAGGGGGGAGCGGCAACGCCGGCTGTTTTCGCCTCCCGTGTCGCCCGTGAGGGAGGGCGACGCGGGGGCCTCGATGAGTTTTTTTGCTAGAATGTCTGAAAGATCTTGTGTACATATGGTGGACTGAACAATTGAACATTACTAGTTATCATATTTTATATTGTTGCTAACCGATCACATAGTCCAGTACTCCAGTAGTAAGATTTTTGTTAAGTTTATTGTTACTGAATATATTGTTTGGCCTGCAGTTGTTATTTCTCTCAAAAAAAAAATAATTTGTTAGTCTCAAATACAAAAAGAATGACAGATCA